GGAGGGGGGAGGAGAAGTTGGCTTTTGTTTTTCTGCAAAGCTTCCTGTTCAGCATCACAGGGGGACAACAGACCATGTGCCTATTCACGGGTCTTTGTCTTAATCCCACTTTCTTTTGGTGAGAGGGGGAGGCGTAGAGGTTCTATGAGGGTGGAGACCCAGTAGTTTTTCCTGACAAGACACTGGGGTCGGGAGGGAACCCCACACCTTTCCCTGCCCACGCCTAGGAGTGCAGTGCAGTGAGCATCTCTGCCCTTTCTGGGCTGCTTCTCGTGGGGACCTGGAACACAAAGGTCTATAAGGCTGTCACTCACCAGTAGTTAGCTGTGGATGGCTGAGTGCTGGGCCTGGGGTGGCCGAATGGGATTCTGCCTTTGAGACTGCTAGCTAGGTCCCCAAGTGTGACACAGCACCTGGCAGGCACATGATGTGCGAGCACCTGGTAAACTGTGATTTAAACCTAAAGGACATGGCAGCTTGACTTTGCCAAGTAGAGATTATGATTTTTGCATCCTGAAACTCTGGGTAGCAATGAAGAGGGAAACTGTTCCACAATTGGCCAGAGGTTGAACATCCATTCCTAAGAGGATCTCCTTCCAAAACCAGCTGCAGAAAAGAGATTTAATAGCTAATGCATTGAAACAGCTGCGGGGGCCCTGAACACTGTTATTGTAGGACCATCAGAAATGCCCACTAGCCAGGCATGGTAGCACCTGTGTGTAGTCCCAGTTACTGAGCAGTCTGAGGCAGGAAGATTATTTGAGGATAGGAGTTTGAGACCAGCCTGGGCAATGCTGTGAGAGCTTGTCTCAAAAAAATTAAAAATAGGCCAGGTATGGTGGCACACACCTGAAATCCCTTTAAATATCTTACGTTTTAAGCTCGGTGTGGGGCACATGTCTGCAGTCCCAGCACTTGGAAGGCTGAGGCAGGAGGATCACCATGATTTTGAGGCCAACTTGGGCTACATAGTGAGACTCTATCTTTAAAAACCAAACCAGGGGCCGGGGATTTAGCTCAGTGGTTCTGGCGCCTGCCTCGCAAGCTGAGGACCCAAGTTTGATCCCTGGTACCAAAAAAAAA